TTCGAAGAGAGTATTTGTCTGGAAGGACGTTGTGGCTTTCCATGTTAGTAGATTGTTGTTTATTTCACTCTGTGATTTCACCGTATCTCAGAGCCAACAGGATGTTCTGCTGAGGTTTTAACAAAAAGAGGAGTCTAATGTCTTAAAACATAGTCAGCTCTATATTATCCTCTTGCACAAATCCAGGAACTGCAGATTCGAGGGGAAGGGAGGCGTCTGCAGTCACATCTGTCTCTCATGCTCTGGAAGGCATGAAGGCACAGGCGTAGAACGTCCACTGTAATTCTGGTTGTAAATTTCTACTACATTTGATGGAAAGAGCTGACACCCGTCAAGTATGAGCAAATACCTAATTGCAGTCCTTTTCATCAGTCTTTAAAATACAGAGCCGCTGCCTTGATTCTGGGAACTAACTTTTGGTTTCTTCCTGTAGGGATTCCATAGCTATTTAGTTTTTATAATATGTCGCCACATTTAAGAAATACTTCTTCCCCAGTAACTTCAAAGCAGTTAATACTACCTAGCAACTCTCTTGTTAGCATCAATAGTGGACTTAAAAAAACCCTAAATTTGTGACCACTTGCTACAAGTATGGAATCCAGCTTGTATGAGAAAGCATAAAAAGATTAAACTGAGGTTTTTAAGCATCCCTCCTCATAAACAAGCCAAGTAATCTGACATGTATCTATATTTCCCCTTTAAGTTTATGCTATTTTAGGGTTTCTTAATACCTACTAGACTCATTTTAATTCAGTATGCTGTCTCAAAATTATTTTCTTTTCATATAAATGTCAGAGAAATTGAGTTCCCCTGCTCCTTCCAGACAGCTAAGATTATATGTAATCCACAATTTTCAGCACAGAAGGGGGGAGTCATATTGATGGAGTGAATGTCGTTTTAGAGTTTCAGGTGATAGTTTTTAAACCTTTGTTATGTCTGCAAAAATGAAACCCTTTAGGGCCTCCTTGGTGATGCAAGGGGTTAAGTCTTAGCATTATGAAGCTGTCTGCAGCCACTGTAGCATGAGTTCAATCCCTGGCCAGGGAGTGACCCACAGCGCACAGCAGACCTCTCCTGTCTCCCCGTTACTCCCCTCAGCAGTGTGTTTATGTCAATCTGTCTGTTCTGCTCCCCACTCTGTCTCACCCCCACCCCACCCCACTCCGGGCACCTCTGGCCTGTACCCCAGCTCTTGTATGCATAAATAAACCTCGAAAAATATAAAATCATTTCAAAGAAGTTCATCATCAGTGAACAGACCCCGTGCATCACATCTGGCAGTAATCAAGACAAACTGACAATGAGATTCTGAAAATCTGGCAAGTTGATAAAGCCGAGGCATAGGAAACCATTTCTCTGCACTTAGTCACTGGTGGTCTAGGCAAGATCGACTTCCTGGCTTAGACTGTCGTCTAAATTAAAGCAGCCAAATCTCACTGCAATATGGGTTCCAGGCTGCTGGCTTGCAAACAACAAAGCTCTGAACTCACGAAGCAGGAGAACTCCGCCCAGAGAACTCCTCTGAGAAGAAACTGCTCTTGAATAGCTGCCTCCAATTTAGTTCAAAGAACTGACATGGCGCACACAGCTTCAGCGAGCTGGACTTTGAGGCCGGCTGGGCTGCGTTAACTCCTTCTGTGCCCATTGATCGTGAGCAAAAGTTTTCTTAAAACTACACATGCGGAGTGGACTTTAACTAAAGAAAAAAATGCGGTTTCATCCCCTGAATTACGAAACTTAACAAGCTTTGTCAAAATCCAGTGACTGCACTTAGCTTTGCACATACTGACTACATTCATTGGTGTGCATTTCTGTCACATAGCACCTGCATACTGCTCAAAACCAGTATTTTAAGGGTGTATGTGCTTTAAAGATGTTATCCTTAGCTTCTAACAGGTGCGGCTGTGATGACCAACTGAGAAAAATACCTGAGTTCTTACATGTTGCAGACGAGTTTGGAAGCATCTTCTACGGAAGAACTGCTCGCCGGCACAAAATCCGAACAGCACAAAACTCTGCGGAATGGTGTCGTTATGGCGGATCAGCGCTGAAGACCTACCTCTGCCCTAA